TTGCTGGTGCTGCTGCTGGGATTGCTGGTGCTGCTGCTGCTAGGATTGCTGGTGCTGCTGCTGGGATTGCTGGTGCTGCTGCTGGGATTGCTGGTGCTGCTGCTGCTAGGATTGCTGGTGCTGCTGCTGCTAGGATTGCTGGTGCTGCTGCTGCTGGGATTTCAGGTGCTGCTGCTGCTGCGATTACTGGTGCTGCTGCTGGTAGGATTGCTGGTGCTGCTGCTGCTGGGATTGCTGGTGCTGCTATTGGACTTCTAGTGCTGCTGTTGCTGCTGCGAGTGCTGCTGCCGGGATTGCTGCTGCTGCTGTTGCCGCTGCTGCTGCTGTTGCTGCTGCTGCTGCTGCTGCTGTTGCTGCTGAGGAAGCGACATTTTACATGAGAAGTCCGCAATTAGTGCGCAGACAAAAGCCCATTTTTTATTTTTATAAAATAAAATGAAAACTTTTAATTTGAGTCTCCGCTGAATTTTGAAAGTTCGCATTTAACTTTTGCATGCAGCTCGAAAGCTTTCTGCCTTCCATTTAGATTATTTTGACTAAGTATATATAAATATGTTTTTAATTATTTAAATTATTTCTTTATTTAAAATATTTAGAGGATTTATTCAACTGAAGTTATTCATTTTTTTAATTATATGCCATTCAAGAGTGCTCCTTTGCATGCATTCATTTGCTGCAGTTTTGCTGCGCTGCTTCAGCGCAGCAGATGCTGCTGCTGCTGCCACTGCCCCCGCAGCACGTCTGCAACACCAGCAGCAGCAGCAAGGCTCACTGAAAATGAGAGCAGCAGCAGCAGCAGCAGCAGCAGCAGCAGCAGCAAGGCTCGCTGAAATTGAGTGCAGCAGCAGCGGCAGCAGCAGAACCGAACGGCTCCGCCCCCTATTTTCAGCCTCATGTGTACGTGCAGCAGCAGCAGCAGCTGCTGCTGCTGCTGCTGCTGCTGCAGCAAAGGAATCTTTGCTGCTGTTCTGATGCGGCTTGCAAGAAGTTGGGAAATAAATTCTCAACACAAATGATATTAAGAAGAGACAAAGTTGTGTCTCGTGTTGGTTTCGCTACGGTGTACGTACACCCGAACTCGCTTGCTGCCACTTGCGGCGCCTGCCGCCAACCAAAAGACCCCACAAGAAAGAAGCAGCAGCAGCAAAAGTTTTTTAATTTCTTTTTCTTTGCCCCTAAGCTGGCTAAGAAACAGACGGATTTGTCTGCCCAAGACACGCATGCAAGCAGCAGCAGCTGCTGCAGCTCCTGCTGCTGCAGCACGGCCACTGCTGCTGCGGCACAGCCGCTGCAGCTCCAGTAGTGGCTGTGCTGCTGCTGCAGCACAGCCGCTGCAGCTGCAACACGGCTGCAGATGCTGCAGCACAGCCACTGCTGCTGCAGCAGAGCTGCTGCTGCTGCAGCACAGCCGCTGCAGCTGCAGCGGAGCCGTCCCTGCTGCAGCTGCAGCCGCTGCTGCTGGAGGCGAGCTGCTGCAGCACGGGCGCTGCTTCTGCAGCAGCAGCGCAGCAGCAGCGCAGCAGCAGCGCGGGGCTAGTCCACAAAGGACCAATAAACGGAGGAGCAGCAAAAAGACCAAACAAAAGCAAAGCGAGAAAGCCCGGGGGGCCCCCAGGCCCCAGCGCTCACTGCTGCACAGCGCGGGGGGCCCCCAGGGGGCCCCCCAGGGGGCCCCCCAGGGGCCCCTCCGGCTCCGCTCCTTCTCCCTCTTCCTCCGCAAGTCCCTCATAATCTATCAGCAACTCTGGGTTTGGATTCCAAGAAGGAATTGTTGTTAAAAAGAACATGGCGACTCCTTGATAAAGGGCCCTTTTCCAGTAGGGGGGTATGGGGGCCCCCCCCTCGCTGCCCCGCTGAGGGGGGCCCCCGGGGGCCCCCCGCGCCCCGGGGGCCCCGCGGGCCCCGGGGGCCCCCAGGGTACTCCTGGGGGCCTCGGGGGCCCCCCGCTCCGCAGGGGGGCCCCCAGAAACTCTTATAGGATCTTCGCCAGCGAGGCGGCGGCTCCGCAGCTCCTGCGCCGCCTCCACAGACCTGTCTACGCTGCTGACCCACGCCCTGCTGCTGCTGCTGCTGCTGCTGCTGCTGCTGCCGTCATCGGCGCTGATTTCGGCGGGGCTGGGGCCGCTTGTCCCGTTGCTGTCGCTGCTGCTGCTGCTGCTGTTGCTGCTGCTGCTGATGCTGCTGGATGCAGTGTTGACTGTCTGGGGCGAAGAGGCTTCTGCTGCTGCTGTCGGCGTCTCTCCTGCGCGCAAAGAGAAGCAAATAAATAAATAAAATAAAAATAAAAAAGAAATAAAATTCGAATTGCATTAAAGGGCTTTCAGCGCCACAGGCGGAGTGTCCAGACACCCGAAATGGCGCGCCGTGGATGCGCAGCACGAGGCTGGTTCTCAGGTGTATCTCCACCTCTTAATTCCAACAAAAGCAACATTAAATGAAAATAATAATAATAATAATAAATAAAAATAGTAATAACAGCAACAAATAACAATAATAAAGACAAGGAGCAGCAAGAACGGAGCCGCTGCAGCAGCGCTTGCTGCGTTCGCTGCGGTGTACATACACCTGAAAACACTCACCTTCAAACGGCCGCCCCACAGATGCATGCAGCTGCTGCTGCTGCAGCCGCAGCCGCTGCAGCGGCCTCCGTTCCCGCCTCCTCCTCAGCTGGGCCAGCGTCTGCAGCAGCAGCAGCAGCAGCAGCAGCAGCAGGAACAGCAGCAAATGAGGCAGTCGATTGCGTATGGCAGATCCACCGCTACAGCTAACTGCTCGGCGTGGCTAGCCAGCGGCCTACTGAGTGCCACAGCTAGCTAGCTAGCTGGCTAGCTAGCTGCGGCCAACAACTGCCCGGAAGTGACCTAGCTAGCTACCCAGCTAGCTAGCTAGCTAGCTACTAAGCTAGCTAGCCGGCTCTCAAGCCAACGAGCTGCCTGAGGCCAGTTCCTGCGCAGGAAGTGAGCTAGCTAGCTAGCTGGCGAGACGGACAACTCTGTAGCTAGCTAGCTAGCCCGCTAGCAAGCCAGCTAGCTAGCTAGCTAGCTAGCTAGCTAGCTAGGCAACTAGCTAGGCCGCTAGCTAGATCTCCAGCCAGGCAACTATCTACGGAGCCAGCTAGCTCGCCAGCTAGCCCGCTAGCCAGCTAGCTAGC